CAGGGATGGCATGTACGTACATGCGATGCCCACTGTGAGTCGACTTTTTTTATTGTTTTTACACATAGATGGCTACACTTGTACTAAGTCACCAATGAGCCAATTACGAGTACTGCCTGTCTTGCCCGTTCACCCTTTTCATCAATTTACAAAAATATTTGACGTTATCATAATTTGCTGTTAAAAATAACACCCTCTATATTTATAGCACTAGTAAGAATACAATTTTTCCCACCAATTCAAGGAAAGGTGAAATAAGGACTAGCAGAGCCATCTATGTACAGAGATATTTCACAAAAATATAAAAAAATTTCCCTGGCGGCAATGGGTTAAAACAGCTAGCTATCAACTGTGGCCATTTCCATTACGTCATAGCAGTAGACGGTGATTGTTGCCTGTCTTGCTTCTGATCATGAAACAAACAATTAGGGTGTCACGCAACATCTCGTGACACTCTAATTATCACCAGAAAAAATATGCATGCCACCTTTAGGACATGATATCAGGAAAGGTTGTACACCTCTTTTAACACCAGGTTGATAAAGGAAATACAAGTATATAAGAGTATACAAGTATATGAGAGATATTGCTTTATTCATTTATATAATTTTTACTGTAAAAAATGTCTATTATTGCTACTACAGTATTTTTTCTATTATTAATACTGTATTTATTACATATGTACCATCATTATAATGCAGATACATAATCTGTTCACTGATTCCAGAGCCTTTCGATGACTGGAGAGATATTAATGATTATAATGGGGATATCAGCCCAATGCAAGTCAAGAAAGAATCAAGTGATCTGCAAGGCGATGGATTTTATAACCTAGTAAGTGTGTGCAGCATAGTTGATGAACCCAGAATAGCTTTAACCAGCAAATATGAAACAGTTTTTTTTTAAATGACTTGTTCTTTCAAAAATGCTGGTTATGCATCTGATATGATGCAAAACTTTGTAAAGTACATATAGATAGAGATAGAGATAGATATAGATATACATATGTGTGTGTGCTGTTATGATTAATATTAACCCAATATGAAAGATTTCATGCCTTTCCCACTGTAATGTAAGCTCATTTATTGTCTTTACACATAGATGGCTCTAGAAGTGCTTAGTTATTAGTCCTACCTATCTCACCTGTTTACCCCTTTCCTTGATTTTTGGAAAGATTATTTTGTATTATTTAATTTCTTTAATGTTACCAAGATTTAACCCATTCACGCCGGGTGTCACGTATATGTGACAGGCCCACTGTGAGTTTACTTGTTTAATTGTTTTTACACAGAGATGGCTGCACTTGTACTTGTACTGCCTGTCTCGCCTGTTTACCCTTTTCTTTGATTTACGAAAATATTATACGTTTTCTTATTTTGCTGTCACTAACATTATAGTAATTATAATGTTTATAATAAAAATAACCATCGATATTCATTGTACTAGTAAAAATACATTTTCCCGCCAAATCAAATCAGGTAAGGCAGAGCCATCTAGTGTAGAGAAATTTCACAAAAAGTATGAAAAATGAGCACAGCGTTTTCCCCCATTTTTTGTTAATTTTTCCCCAGCGCGAATGGGTTAATATGAATTAATAATTTAATAATCATAGTATCAATAAGAATAATAACAGTATCGATATCAGTAGTTTTAGAAAGAAAAAAAAAATCTGGCAATTTCATGGAATGAGGAAATCATGAGTGGTCACTAGGGCCTACTGATAGACTCCTTGTAGGCAGGGCACATGCAGAGCCATTTGTATGTAACAAAATTCACAAAAAACTACAGGGGACATTGTCATTGGGTTAAAACTATTTATGATAAAGTTTTATTTAGCTCTTTGCTAACTTTTTGCTTAAGGGGGTAGGTATATTAAAATTTTGGACCTAAGGAAATGTTTCATATAGGAAAAAAATATTAAGTATATTGTGTGTGTGTGTTATGATTATGCATTTTTACTGTCTCACTTTTGAGAATTGCCATGGTGACAGCCATGAAAAATATATTTTAAGTAGAAAAAGCAAAGAAAATTGAAAAAATGCATAACAGATAAGATTTCTAACATAAAGTAATAATATGTTTGGTTTTATAAGAATAATCACCTCCTCTAAAAAAAAAGAAAAAAAAAAAGGGTGACATTTATAATCAGCACCTGGGCATTATACCCCACTTAGCCCTAAAGCACACATCTATAGAATAACTCTATATTTATAATAATATCTTTCCAGAATATACTAACAAAAGGCCAAAGAACTTTGTAGAACTTTAAGTAGAAATTTCTGTTAAGTTGTGTTATAAAAATCATAAAAAGAAAGGTACACTAAAGGTAACTACATTGATTCTATTCAGTAAATTATGAGGGCACATGTCTTTTAAACAATATGCATCATATTCACTGGTCCAAACTACTGCTAATTAGTTCATTCACATACTACATTGTAAATTGTCTGATATTCCTTAACATTTTCTAAGCTGCTCATGTAATATTATGATTAAATAGGTATGGTCATATATATTATGTTATTTTGAATAATGTTATGGAAATTGCAGGCTGTACAGCAACACCTGGATGCACCAGCCACACTCCTGTCCACTGCAAATGAGCAACATATCATGGATCCCAGTCATCGCAATGCTGTAAATATGGATACTCCACAACCTCTAGACTCTTGCATCGGCTCTGCTCCATCACCCATTGTTGCTAGCAGTTCTCCTGGCCATGCCAAGCGTCCCAGTTTACCCATAGACTCCTGTCTTTTGAAAGAAAAACAAAGGAGATTGGATACATCTACTGATATAACTCATCAGTTAGAAGATTTGACTAATGATGACTTTGAATTTTTAGAAGATGAACATAACACTAGTGATTATATGCCAAGTGATACAGATGATGCTGTTGAGGGGGAGGATATGCAGAGTGATGAGGAAGTTGATCCTGCCTCACTCCCATGGGAAGGAGTAATGGAAACATTTTCGTGGACAGCTGGGGATAATTTTCAGCCTGATTTTCCAGAGTGTGGTGGAGAAGAAGTTGGGATTACATCTGCTTTTCCAGTTGTTAATGATAATGCCAGGGAAATTGACTATTTCCAGGCGTATTTTGATGGTGCCTTTATGGATTTTCTGTGTGAACAAACAAACATGTCCCAGAAATACAAGCATGACCATAACCCTACACCTAGCTCAGGGAAAATGAGACGTTGGCATGATACAAGTGTAGGAGAATTATATGTGTTTTTTGCACTGTTGATGCTGATGGGTCATATACGTAAGCATGTGTTGAAAGAATATTGGATACTAAATGACATTACAGCTACTCCAGTATTTGCAAAATATATGCCTAGAGACAGGTTTTTGTCATTACTAAGATTCCTCCACTTTGCTGACAACAGTCATCCTAATGCTGAGGATAAATTTTGGGAAATACGTGAATGCTTCACAATGCTGAAAGAAAGATTTGCAAAATTTTTCCATCCCTTTCAACGTCTTGTATTGAATGGTTCATTTACACTTTTTCATGGTCGTTTAGCCTTCAGACAGTATGTTCCTAGTAGGAGGCACAGATCTGACACTAAAATTTTTGTTCTTTATGATTGTGAAACTGGATATGTGCTTGACATGATATTATGCACTACAGGTGATTCTGACCTCAAGAATGACTCGCATGGATTCTCTGCTGAGATAGTGAAGAAAATGATGGATCGTTACCTAGGTGGGAAGCATATCCTTTACACTGATGATTATAAGACCTCCCCAAGCCTTACAGAATTCCTTGAAAAAAACAGGCCATGTGGCACAGTACCTGTAGATAAGGAACAGCAGCAAGAGCTTGTGAAAGTTATTCATGGTGAAGGTCAACTGCAGAAGGCTGACAAGTTGCTTGCTATATGCAGGCAGGACAAACAGGGAGTAAATGTACAAACTATTAATCAAAAGGGAGACATGGTAGATAGTTGTAAGAAGGACAAAACAACAGGGAAGCCTATCATGAAACCTGAAACTGCATTGGATTATGGTATACGGATTTGCCAGGTTGACAAAAGCGATTTGATGGTTGGCAGCATTGAATGTGTTCGTCGTACTGTGAAATGGTACAAAAGAATGTTTTTACATCTAATGGATATCACAGTCCTCAATTCATATAACTTGTATGTAGTAAAAACTAACAAGAAGGTATCACTTAGGATCTTCAGCAAAAGACTCATTGAACAGATTTTGGAGACATATGGCGTGGTGCAGAGAAGGGCAAGAGGATGCTCACAAGCTGGCCTCCCAGACAGACTCCTTGGTCGAGATTATGTATCCCGTCACTTCCTTGAAGCTCTGCCACCCACTGCTGGGAAACCCAAGGCACAAAGACAATGCCATGTTTGCAGAAACACAACAAAGCGAGCTGGCCGGCGCAAAGATGTCACAACATGGTGTAAAGAATGTGGTGTAGCCTTGTGCATAAGTTGTTTCAAGGAATACCATACACTAAAAATATACTAAAGTGTAAGGTAACACTCTATGCTAAATAAGTTGTGTAATACAAGATACCAACACAATAACAAGCTCAAAAGCTCATTCCAAGTGTCCCTAACCACCATCACCACCTACACACTGAGCTGAGTCGCCACCAACCACCTTAGCCACTGATGATGCACTGAGTACCAGCTGAGCCAGTCACTCACTCATATTGTCCCATGTGCTGCAGGATGAGAGTAAGTATATGCATCTTTTTAAAAAATATTCTAATATAGTTTTAAGATGTAAATGATTTCTGTGATACTTTATTTTCATTTAATTGTATGTGCCTGTAAGGTGTGCTGTGTATGATAATAATAGTATTATTCTTTTTATTTATTTATTTTTTTTTTCTGATAGAAGAGGACACCCAATAACTACACAATTTGGTTTACTTTTTCTGTTTAATTAGACCGTGACAAAAATATCCAGAGCTATATATAATCAAATGCTTGCAGCAAACATACTCCTTGTCATAGAAACTTGATTTTTTT